AAAGATCTTGGCTTCCTCAGTTATTTTCTTGGCCTCCAGGTCACTCATCTCCCTTCCGGAGTTCTTTTAACTCAGGCAAAATACATAGATGACGTGTTGCGTCGCCTGGATATGGAGGGCTTAAAGCCAGCCCCCTCCCCCACTGTATTGGGCAAACACTTGTCAATTTCTGATGGAGAGCCCRTGAGTGATCCCTTTCTATACAGAAGCACTCTTGGTGCCCTTCAATATCTTACCAACACTCGGCCAGACATCGCGTATATTGTTAATCACCTGAGTCAATTTCTCAAACAGCCCACCGACATACATTGGYAAGCTGTGAAGCGGGTGTTACGCTACTTAAGTGGTACAAAACACATGGGCCTCCACATCCAACCAAGTGACACGGTCTCTCTCACAGCTTATTCTGATGCAGACTGGGCATCAAACATTGATGATCGCAAATCAATTGCTGCTTATTGTGTTTTCTTTGGAAACACTCTTGTCTCGTGGTCGTCAAAGAAACAAACGGCTGTTGCTCGCTCCAGTACTGAGTCCGRATATCGTGCTCTTGCTCATGCTTCCGCTGAAATTATTTGGCTGCGACAACTCCTTGGTGAACTTGGTGTCAACGTTAGTTCTCCGCCCATTATTTGGTGTGACAATATCAGTGCTGGTGCTCTAGCAACTAATCCAGTCTTCCACGCTCGGACCAAGCACATTGAAATAGATGTCCACTTTGTTCGGGATCACGTGTTACGCGGTGCTCTTGAAGTTCGTTATGTACCATCTGCTGATCAACTAGCCGATTGCCTGACTAAACCACTCATTCACTCTCAGTTCCACCTACTACGATCCAAACTCGGAGTGCTTGACCTACCCGCTCGTTTGCGGGGGGATGTTAACGTAACTTCAGCAAGGAAGTTGAAGCCACACACCACGTCATAGTCAAAACAAGAATATCTATTATTGTGCATTTTTGTTACAATATTTTTGTTAAAGTTTAGATTTTTTTTCTTCTAAACTTAGGATATACTTTTGTATAAATAGAGCATTTGAGTGCCATCATAATACAGTGAAATATAAACATCATACCTTCTGTGTGAAACTTCCTCTTGTGAAATTCTAACTCTTATCTAGTTGAGGACCAAAAGTTTAAATGGATAGATTTGGTAAATTTAATTCATATATTGATATCTCAACACATTATCTGGGTAAACTTATCATAACATAAACGGATATAATTGAAAATTATTAAAACATAATAGATAAAAGAAAAACTCCAATGTATTGGTGTCAGAAGTCTTATCAAGGCGAGGATGAGAACATAGCGGGAACAAATTTTCCCACCCTCATCGTGCGAGAAGCTTAAATGAGTATTTCCTATCACACAAGAAAAAGTAACACCCTCGATTAAGATTGTGTCGTGTATACCGAGTCCATTCTATTAAACCTTTTTTATTTGTAAAATATGTGAATCGTGTCATTTTGTTAATTAGGGTGGCTAAAAAAATATGAATAATACCATTATAGTGTAATTGACAATTAATTCCTATGGGGAGAGTATTAGTTGTTAGTTTGGCGATTTGACAAATATCAGTCTCAATTAACCACCAATCACTCACCCAAATGATAAACACAAAATTAGGCTTTTTTGACTATTTTCCCCCTCTTCCAATAATAATTCTTTTTTATTATTATTTCTTTTATTTTGCACCTTTTGCGTAGGCTAAACGCAGCCTTTGATTTATTTGTTTTTTTTCCCCTAAAAAATCTTTTTGTTTTTTTTTGAAAGCTTCAAAAAAATCTCTCATTTTGGAAGAGAAAATTATGCCCCAATGCTAATCTTACATGGCGTTATTGTGATTGTGACCAAATTGACCAATTAGATTTTTTAGTTAATAATGATAATAATAATAATAATAATAATAATAATAATAAAGACTTTTCTTTTTTTGACAACTAAATAATTGTTGATTGGAGCTTAATTGGGAGTGGGTGAACACTAACACCCCCTCCCCCACCCTTTTTCTTTTAAAAGTTACCTAATCTTGTGTTCAACAAATTTATTATCCAATTTGTCACCTTTTTTTAATTCATAAATTTTCAAGTTCAAACGCTTTATTTTAATTAGGTCCTTACATACAAATTATTTTAATCATTATGACTAGTTTTTCAAAAAGGCATTTTGCAGAAAGATTGATGTGACATGGTTTTCCTTCAATTATATAATAAAAGATGTATACATGTATAAATGAGCATATGTTAAAAGATTTCAAATTAAGTCCAAAACAAATATAATTAAGTGGTAATCGACATATATTTTCAGCTTAGAAGTTGTGAGTTACATCTTCTACCCTACGTACTAAAAAAATAAAATAAATTATCGAATCAGATTTCAAGTAATAAAATGGATCAAGAACCTATTAAAATGGACCACGACTAAAATAGTGTCAATGCAAAGTTTAAAATTTGGCACTAAAAATAGAAAACTAGAAATTTAGAGTCGTTTGACAAAGTTTCTATTTATTGTCTCTTATTTTATTTATTATTTTTTTTATTGTTCCCTCTTTTACAATTAAGAAAAATATAACTATGTTTGATAATTTTTTATTGTTTATATTTTTCATTTTTATTGAGAAAATAAACGAAAATATAATTTATTTCTTGTTTTTTGTTCTCTAAAATTTTAGATTAAAAAAATAAAAGTTCTATATGAAATTCAATTTTTAAAATTAAATATTCAAAATGAAATGTGATATTTATTTTTTAATACATATTATGCATTTTAAAAATAAAAGATGATGAAATAATGTTTTTATTTGCGCATGTATATTTTGGAAAAAAATTCAACTGGAAATGTGAATCATACACAAGAAACTTGGGGTTGTTGGGTGATTAAAGTTACCATTTTTTGTTTCTTTTGACCTTCTTTATAATAAAGAAAAATAGAATTGTATGGCTCAATGAATTCAATAATGATAAAATATTACTTTTATTCATATTTTGAAATCAATTGTAAATTCGAACAATATATGAAACTTATTTTTGTTATTTCTAAAATTTCTTTACCATTTTGAGGATGTTTGTAAAAAAAAAAATAATTAACATAAATAGTTATCAAATGCTTTGGTTTCTTAATAAATTTTGGAATGAGAAACAAATTGATTTTTTTTTGGTAGAATTTTAGAAATGTTTCTTAATAATGAAAATCGAGAAGCAATAATAGTTAACAAATACTTATATTTGTCAAAAATGTCCTTAAATACGGTTGATGCAGAAATTTGGCCTCGTGAGATTCCGCCAAATTCGCACCAATATTAATAAAAAGGATTGACAAGACCTGCAAAAACAGAATAGCACTAAAGACCGGTGTGGCTCTTGCCACACATGCTTCGATGCTTAAGTCAAAATTTGAGTAGTTGAGTGTAAAATGTAGGGTGTTGTGAGCCTTGACCTAATCCCTTCAAAAATCAGCTGAACCCTAATCCTCATACAGTTTACACTCGTCGAATCCTTATGCACTAAGGTGATCACAGAGTGGGCCTCACGTTGTACTATTTAGGGTCGAGATCAAATCGGCTTGAATTGGACTTGTACGAGGGTCGGGATTTGCTGGAGAGGTTCTCGGCCACTGGGCTGAGAACCCCTCAGCGCAGCGCCAACCCCGAGTCGGCCACGGTCGGCCCAGGTCGCTGGGCCCCGACCCACTTACCTCTTCGGGTCTGCTCCTTCTTCGGCTTTCTTTCCTCTTTTTGATTTGCTTAATCCAATCTCTATTTTCTGCCTATAACAAATACCAAACTAGAATTAGTACAACAGATTAAAATAAGATTTGAAGTAATAATTTATGATTATTGTTAAAGAAATATGCATGACATAATTGAGTACGTAGGAGCATGTGAGAGATTATATTCATTTATGAAAATTTAAGAGGCATTATTACGAGGACGAACCCCGCTTGTAAGCTTCATTACAGACAAGTATAAACCTCCACCTTTCTTTTAATTATTTTTTTCACTTTTTTGAAAAAGAAAAAGAAAAAGAAAAAGACGTGACTAGAACAATCTTCGTCATTTATATTCATATATTCTATAATTTTTTTAACATGTTGAAGAGAGAATTCGAACTCATAGAGGTATATGTCAATTACCGCTCTTTGACATTCATATATCCTATAAATAATAATAGTACTAACGATAATTTCATTTCTTCATCATGATTTTAAGTTAGTGTTATGGTTTGATTTAAGTTCACTATTGTGTTTGGTTTGACCAATAGACCCTATTAAAGGTGTTATTTGGAGGTTGCTCCGAGCAATTTGGAGGTTTAATTGAGTTATATATATATGTATTTTTTTTTTTTACTTCAAATCAAGTGTTAGAAATCTAAATGGAAGGCCCAAAGGCTAGTTCCCTATTGTATATTTTTGTGATAGGACTATATTGTATTTGAAAAGCTTCAAGGCTAGTTTTACTCTCTCTTCTGTGTGAATAATCGATCGAATCTTGACTATCACATATTTCAAGATGTGTTATTTGAAATTCAATATTCGCGTTTGGTGAAAAAAAAGTTGTTTGTGTTTAGAAATGTAACAATTTGTCGTTGTAGCTGATATTTTTGTGAAAGTATATATTATACCTGTTAATTGTTGTGTAACACACATGTATATTAGAATTGATTTTGAAATTTATAAGGAAATGATATTATGGTAATAAAATACCCTGAAAATTACAATCTTGTTTTTCTCTTAAAAAAAGCAAAGAAAAAAAATTAAAAACCTTTGTCCATAATATTGAAATTGGATAAGGAAAGAAATGTGAAGAAAGGGAATAGTCAAACATATGCTTCAAGTCCATTCCAATTTGGTTGGGATTTGTTCACACCAAATTCCATAGATTTTCTCAACAACAACAAATAATAATAATAATAATAATTATTATTATTATTATTATAACATGAAATTATTAAAAATAATGGAACCAGTCAAATAGGGATGCATGGAAAAAGCAAGTAGGTCCATGATGTAATTGCAAACCTCAAATAAACAAATAAGATGTGGAATGACGTTTTTACTCTCTCTTTAATCTCTATATGAAATTAATAATATATAAGCAAAAATGCAATTTTATATTTACGTAATGAACAACAATAATAAAAATATAAAATATTTACTTACAACTTCTACGAAAAACTCAAAATATACCAAATTAATACTTATGAACCTGAATTAGGTGTCTCTTTGGCATGCTCAACTAATCATGCTCGTAGATTTGTATACCATTAAATCTTATAAATTATAAATAAATAATTAGTTAATTATATTAGTGCAATATTTAATTAATTAATTATATGTCTATATAAGGTTGATTCTTTAGATTACTTATTAAATATAATCTTTTCACATCCACTACCAAAAATTAAAAAATTTTATGGCACCATCTCGATAAGCTCATATTAAAACTAAAAAGAAGACAAGCTATTCGAGGTGGATTATAAGTGAGACATGTGCCTCGAGGTATACTCTACATTTGATATAAACGTCTAATACCTTCCTCTCGTGGACTATAATTGATAGGTTAGAGTTTTCACTCACTTATTTTTACATGGAAATAAAGAAAAAAGAAAAAGGTCACGCTGACCTTATCCTAAAGAGACCACATACCCTATGAGCATGCATGCAAACCCCAAATCAAAGCCTTTTACAATCTTTTCCCCTTTTTTTTAAAAAAAAAAAAGAAAAAATTTATTTATTTATAAAAAGGAAAAAAAAGGTAGTGGGGAGAATTTTAATCTTCAAAGGAGGCTCCCTATAATGGAGACCATTGGAAACCTACCAAAAGGCCTTTCGAAAAAACAAAATCCACGCGAGTTTCGGGAGCGTGCGTTTCACGTGTTAACAGATACGATAGGATCCCCCTTAACGGGCATGATGAGCACGTAATTAT